CCCCGCTTCCCCGGAGGACGAGGATGGGGTGTTCCTCCCACCCCTGCTTCCCGACTTCCCCAAAATACTAATACAGCGCTTAAAAGAGAAAACGGCCTCTTTGTTGGGACAGCAGTTGGTGTTAGTTCACCTCTTGAAGTGCCTGGTAATTAATTACCTGATGGTTTCCTAAAACTTGGTGATAAGCCTTTGTGGAGGAACTCCCAGAAGCTCTGAAGTGACATGAAAGTTTTCGACAATCCTGCTTCCTGGGTCTTTGTAGCTTTCATATGCTTGATCATAGTGGTTATTTTTCATAAAGCAGTACTTTTTGAGGTTCACCTGACATTCTCAAGGTTTCTTCTCTTGTGAGCAGTACGTGTTCTACTGTGAGTTCATACAGCACTTGAGCCCATTACAGCCTCCTATCAGGAGAAAATTAATGCTTCTCCATAATTTTGGCCATAAAGGGGGAATGTTTAGCTACATGATCCCATATGTTACAAACATTACGCGGTAGAGAAGATAATGCAGAGAGAAGCTGTGTGATCTTAGTTTTGTTTTTTTTTTTTACTGCTTATCTGCAAAGAAATAATTAAGCAATAGAATAATTCCTCAAGCATAGGTTATTGATTAGTTTGGTTTTGTAGTATGGAGATAAGAGGAGGAACATCGCATGGGATGTATTTTAGCGGATGCCAGTAACGTGCCTATCAGAAATAGTGCCCATACTGTCTTTCCTGCACCTTTTTTTGTAGGAAGCTGAAGCAAAACAATGGAATTTGAAGTATTCACTTTTCAGCTCAAATGACATTAATCTCAGAAAATACTTCAGCTGGTATTGAAGAAAATAGTGCTGTAACTGAGCGAGTAAGGATGAAGAAGAGGGCTTTCTTGCCACCGTATATGGTGGTCGATTTGTAGGTAGTTTTGCTCTGATATTTGGTTGCATCGTTGTGATGAGACTGATTTAGCATTTTGGGAAAAGCTTGATTGCCCGTTCTTTTATATCTCTTGTGAGAAGGTATAGCAGTTGTGAAGCTCAGCTTGGACAGAGCAGGCAGCCCACTGTTCAGGAAGGGAAGTTGTATGGAGCATCACTGGTCTTACTGTTAGGCTTTCCCAGAAGTTACTCTAAATCAACTTGTGTAAAGAACTTTCCCAGGTTTTATTTTGCTTGAACATAAATTGTTACGAAACCCAGAGATTTCGTTGTTTGTTGTTGTTTTTTTTTTCTCCTGATGTTTTCAAGTGTCAGTGATTGGAAAGAAATCAGATTTTTCACAGGATAGAGAACGCGCACTATAGATACGTTTCTGTACATTTAGCCCTAGATAGTTTTGGCAGAGAGTGTGACAGAGCTGGTGTCTTTATCCTCTAACGTAAAGGCCAGGTATAGGATGCTCAAGCTTACTGGTTTTGGACTTGGCAAATTCATTCTGAGGTGAACATCCTGCTCTTAGAAATAACCTCCATATTCTATTTCCAAGAGTTTTCTTGGACATTTGTGGCATTGTGCTAAGTGCATAGTTTTGCATGTGGATATGTTGAACGAGAAATTTTTGGAGACCGGCGGCTTAGAGTTTACGTCCAAATGAAAGAGTTGGAGTGTAGGGGAAGATCTGCCTTGGTACAAGGGGCTATCTCTGCTTTAGGAGCACACATTTAAAATATTAGATATTTCCCCCCCTATTTTAAGAGATGCAAAATTAAATGAAAATGAGTAGTCCTGCAACAGACCGTGCAAAGACTGTTCTCGGAGCAGGTGGCTTTTCTCTCTTCTCCATGTGTACTTTAACGTGTCACTGGTGCAATGAGGCTTTTCATGGGTGGGGGCATCCCAGCAGCGTTGTGACCTAATCCCTAGCAAAGAACTGGAACACACTTCAAGGAATTTCATTTAGCTCATCTTGAATTTTTCTAAAATGCTTAATTTCTGTGAAACCAGGTGCATGGTTGGTATTTTTCTGAAAAATGTCCTTTATATACTCAGTCCTTTCTGAACAAGATGGTTTCTACTTACGTATTTCTCAAAGATGAAACTGTGATTGGAGTTTGGGGAAGAAGAATAATGTGAGACAAGTGAAATAGAGCTTGTACCTTGCTTCGCTTTTCACTCAGGTTCTTTGTGACAAGGGTGGGAGTTTAACCATAATTAAATTTTCTGTTAGGTAAATGTATTGTGCAGGTGGTTAGGAAAGATAACTGGAAGTACCTGTGTTTTCCACTGTTGGAGCTGTTGTCTTTATTTTCCTTTCTTTACTTCGTTACTGTGTCTCAGGCTTTAAAGTGTATTTTGAGATCTGTGGAGCAGGAAAGCCTCCCATTTAACTTCAAGGTCTTGATCAGTGGACTTGATCCAAATGTGGATTCAGGGTGCTGTGGTATTAAAAGAAATGCTGTTATGCAGATATGCGTAATATATTTTACAGCGTATTTATTTGAGGTGAAGGTGATATGTTGCTCCTTTTTTTGGTCACTGTCGCTAATTATCCTGTAGAAAATGGCATTATATTTTCTGCTTCCTTCATATTTGCAAGAATTAGAAACTACGTGGAGTGACAGGGAGTCAAGAATTATGTTATGTTGAAGGTAACATCTGCAGTGCCCAGCTGAGCTGTCTCTGCCGGCACCTCCAAGGTACCGGACAGGCATCGGGGTAAGGCTGGGGGTCTGGAAACCCACAGAGAGCAGTGGCAAGACGTTGCACTCCCTGTGGGTTTAGGTAAGCTTGTTGAATGGGTGGATTTGTGAGTTTTTTTGTTTGATTTATATTTTGCAAGATGAGACTGGGTGAGGCTGAGGTGCGGTGGAAGATCTGGTGTCTGTAACAGAAGAAAAATTATACAAATAGGCTTTAGAAAGATAATGGTTATGGGGTCCCTGGGTGACTGCTGGTGGCAGCAGCTGTTATATGTCAAGGTAACGTTTTCGAATATGCAATGTATGTCCCTACTGGTAAGGGTGACTGCCTTCATTTCATCAGGTGCTTTCAGATATCGAGGATTTGAAAACCATGATCCAACTAAACAATCGAAGTAAAAGTAATTATAAGAGGATTACTTCTGATCTGGTTGCTCAAGCCAAATTAACTGACGCCTTAGCAGACACACAAGTAAAACACAGGTTATTTCTTTTGGCTTCCTGTAGGCTGCTCCTGCTGCTCCCAATGTTTTTAGGGAACAGCAAACATTGTGGCAAGTGCATCTGCTCCTTTGAACTTTTAATGTTTTGATTTATATGTGCAAAGCTTGCTAATTTAAGAGAACCTGAGACTAAACCAGGTGTGTCGATTGCTTGGGACCAGCCTGTATATGTGACTGCAGTAATTGTAATTAAAATAGACATTTCCTTAACAATTTTTGTTCTAAAATTGGCAATTGCTACGGCCCAACATTGTATTATGTGCTGTATGTAGAGTTACTTCCAAGGCGTAAATTATTATTGGCTCACTCTTTTGATAGCTTTCTTAGTAAAATATTCATTAAGTTTGACAACATTGTAAAAAGCCTTGCGTAAGTTTTGCTGCAGTTTATAGCATTTTCTTTCTTCTTTTACTAAAATTCAGTATTTCTAGAACTAATGAGCCTATAAATGCTGTACTTCAGTGATGAATGGTAGATATGTGTTCTGTTAATATATAATTCAGACACTATTCCATTTGGAATCGCACTGGAAATGAGGCATTCATAATTTCCAAGTAAATGAGTGGGTAGAAAGCAGACAGTTTATTTATTTTTATGCGTTTAGCTTGTCAGCTTTTGTGAATGTTTGTGTTCTCTCACATTCTTGCTGTCTAACTTTGAATTTCCAGGGACCATCATGTGTCTAGAAACATTTAACTTTACCCAGGCATATGAAATGTGACACTGTGGTGGTTTTGGTTGAATTTCAAAATACAAAATGTAGCACAATAACAGTCTTATGAGTGATCCGAGATCACTTCAGGTAGATGGAAGAAAGTTCAGTGCTTAATTTTTTAACTGTCAGTTATGTTAACTATGCATTTTGAAGTGCAAGAAAAACTGACAATGTTTAGATCTATGGTTGTGTTTGTTTTTCCAGCTGTTATAAAGATTAAAAAGAAAAACATTGGCAACAGTTATAGTGGTACCTTCATATTGGTAAAGCCACTGTCTAGTAGTGAAAACTATTTTCCTTAAGTTTCCTCAAAATTTGTTCTTGTATATGGAACATCTATGTGTATATAAATGTATACGTGTGTATAAAATCACATTCTTAGCAATTTCCTGTTCCAGAGGACAAATAAAACCTAGGCTAGGTAGTGCGCTCTAGCTGACTTGAGGAGTATGCTCATGTGCTCTTGAAACAAAAATCCTAATGCTAAAAATAAAAAATAAACAGTCTTTTCTATCTTACCTAGATGAACAGGGATAACATTTACACCTGTGGGCACTTCCCTGGCCTAGAAAGCCTTCACTTCCATGTCTGGCTTTCTTGAGGCTCCTTTCCATAGGAGTGTGTAGACTCTTTCTGCAGTGCCAGTTCACAGCGTTTTGCTTACACCGATAAACATGAGCAGTGATTGAGTTGTCGTAGTTTTTCTAATACTTCAAGTGAAAATTTACTCACCTGGAGCAGAAGTGCAATTTTAGTATTGTTTGTAAATGTAAACGTGAAAGTACTTGGGAGAAATCTCTTGCGGCTTATTTTTCTTAACCATGGGAAATGTCCATTATTTTTTTTTATTTATTGGATAACTAAGTATAAGGTTTTTTTACTGCGTGTGTTACTAACTTGAGAGACTGCAAACTTAGAAGTTGAATCAATTTTATTAGAGCATGAACACAGTTTGTGTGATATGGTTTCAAAGATTTGGTACACCAAATCTTTGGTTCTCTTGTAGTTTTCTAATGTTAGTAGAAGTCACTTTCTTAGATCTATTGCTCTCTGAACCCGTTCTTCATATGCATATTTTCCAGAAATAAAATTCACATTCCATTACTATTTGGAAATCTCAAATTTTGTTTGTTATTTTTTTCTCTCCTTTGCCCTCAGATATGCGTGATAAAATGAGGAAATGGAGGGAAGAAAACTACCGAAACAGTGAACAAATAGTGGATGTTGGAGAAGAGTTAATTAATGAATATGCTTCTAAACTTGGAGATGACAGTGAGTAAACAATCATAATTTTTAAAACTTCTCTCGTCTGATTTTGTTTTCTCTTTTTCAGCCTCTATTTTGTACTTTTGTGTTGCCTTTCCATGTCTACTGATGATGAAATATATATTACTTTTTGTCTAATAGGCTGCCAGAATTCCTAGATTTTATTTCTTTCCCAGATATAGGCTACAGTGAAAACATGGAAAAGTCACCTACTAGAACTGTTAGTTTGCGATATTATTAGTTGGACCATTATGTGAAAACTTGGTGTGAAACTGTTCCCTAGCTGTCATTTCATGGACAATCAGTAATGTAAAGCTATAGAGTGGGACTTCAAAGTAGAGGAATAAGACCTTTGGCTTCTTTTGTTTTTTTGTTTTTAAGCTTAAACAAGAAAGCCCTAGTACAAATTAGAAAAACACATCCCTCTGGACTGGTTACTTGATTCTCTTACAAGTGTTCTTTTGCCTAGTATCTGACACTTACCTGTGCTAGGGTTAGAGTATCAAAGTAGCGGTTTAATCAAATGAGGAGAGCCATTTCATACACTATAAAATTATCTTATTCTTACATTTAGCATTTTTTAAAAAACATAATATAAATCATGGGTATATGTTATCTGCATTTTGTCTGTGTCTATGTATGTATTTTTACAAATGGAAAAAATGAATACATTATATAATAGAATGTCTTAGATATAGTTCCAGTGGGAAAGAGAGATTACAGGCAAATTAATGCCTGTTTCTCTTCTTTTGTATACTTAGCAAGAAATAGTATTTTCTTTAAAAGATAGTGGAAATTCATATAATAGAAACTATTTTTAAAAATGAGAGGGCCTTTGTTATCTTTATTTTATATTTTTATTATGGAAGACACTTGCTTCTGTTTCAATTCTATGAAATATTGAGTGCACCTGATTGGATTCACAGGAGTTCAAAACACTTAGTACTTCCAGCACTCGTATTCCATATTTCGCTCCACTGTAACCTCTCTTTTCTGCAGCTTGTGGAGCTACACTGTTAAGTTCTTTACATTCAAGAGCTCGGTAAGCCTAGAATAGAAATAATGTAATCTGTCGTTACGTAGAGAAGTTGTTAAACTCCAGGAAGAAGACAACGTTTGTAGGACTTTCAGCAGTGAAACAGTTAAGGGAAGTTTGTTTTCTTTCTAGCTAAAATGGCTGCTCTTCAAGTCTGATGAGAGAGCAAGTCCTAATGGGGATCTGTTTAGAAGACTTCAGCTATAATGTTAGGAAAGGTAGAGAATTAGAGCTTTTGTGCCTTTGAAGATGTCAAAAGGTACTTTGTTTAAAAGCAATAAAATTGCTTAAATGCATTTTTAATTAATTCCAGCAGTTTCTTAAAATATCTCCGTTTCAGTAGTGATCCATGGGATTAGAAGAGGAAAAACATACAGACAGAATTAATTAATCTTATTTACATTGTAGGTGTTTCCCATTATCTTAAAAAAATAAATTATCTGCATTTAATGTCTCTTTTGTGTCCAGTTTGGATAATATATGAACAGGTGATGATTGCTGCTCTGGACTGCAGTCGAGATGATTTGGCATTGGTAAGTTTTCAAGTTGATTTTTTTCCCCTCAAACCTGAAGTTTTCTTCCTGGGTATCTCTTTCAGATAGTTCTTTGGACAGTCACAGGATGTTCTGAACTCCATAGCTTGGACTTATGGAGTATCTATCGAGAGATACACTGCTGGGAAGAAACTGCCACCACCCAGCTTCTCTAATGTGTAACTTTTGTTTAGACAGATCATGTCTCTTCCAATAGCCATGAAAATATTTACAGCTACTCTGGTATGGGCTAAATGTCAAGAATAATATTGAAATTGCCATATTGTACAGAGAGTGTTTGTTTATTGAAAACCTCTCCAATTATATTGGTTTTTTGAATGTTTTGAGGTAAAACATCCTGTCATGCATATCATATTATATGTCATGTTGGCCGTCATCAAAGAAAGTCATTGACATATTGGAGCAAGTCTTCAAGATGAATGAGGAGCTGGACTGCATAATGTGTAAGGAAAGGCTGCAAGGTCTGGGTTTGTTAAGTCTTGAGTAAGCTAAGAAAGGATTTTATTGCTATCTTTGAATATGTACTGTTGGGAAGGTGTAAAGAAGGTGGAGACCTTTTTTTTTGTAGACGTGCAGCGAAAAACAAGAGCGAGAGACGTAAACTGCAACAAAGGAAATTCCAATTAGATATTAGGAAAAAGTGTTTAACAATGGGGTTAGTGAGTACTTTGGGATAAATGGCACAGAGAAGCTGTAGAATCCCCTTTGGAGATGCTCAGAAGTGGATTGGGTTATGGCCTGGCACTCACTTGGAAACTGGCTCCGTTTTAAGTGCAGATTTGGAGCAGGTGATGTCCAAAGGTCCCTTTCAATCCAAATTATTCAGTGATTCTTGATAAAAACACTGTTAAAGGATATTTGAGCACAGCCAATTTGTATGCAATTTTTTTTGAATTATACAAATAACAATTTAGATAAAATGAGTTGATTTAGAACTGTAACACATGTTCACTGGATTAAAAAAAAAAACACGCCACCGAAACAAACAAACAAAAAAACCCCTAAGTTTAGCTAATCCTTTAAAGGCAGCAACTAAAGAAGACAAAAGTGTGTTTTACAGGCAAATTTTAATAATCTTTTCATCCGTCGATTACAAAATGCTGTGAAAAAAACATGATTATATCTTGCCCTCTGAAAGCCAGCAAGCTTGGGCTTGTTCTAAGTAAAAAGCAAGGTATTTTCAGGAGTCCAGGTCTTTAATGGAGATTACTCTTCCAGTGCCTTGTTCTCTGTCAGATGGCAAAATACCTCATAAAGTCTTTGAGCTTCATGTGATGTCACTTGGGTGAAACTTAATGGTCTGTGATATACAAGGGGTCAGAGTAAAGGATGTGGTTGGGAGAAGGGCAGTTTGAAAGTAGGCAGAACTAGACAAGTTTATCACGCGTCCCATATGTATGTGGTAAAATGGAGAACACTGGAAAATACGGCACAACACTCTGAACTTGTGAACCCGCTGAACTTCCCTTTCTTTTCTTTTTCAGAAGAAAATACTGTTGTAGTATAGCTGTCTGTTTAAACAAAACCAAATAGACTTACTGTTTAAATAAATATATTTCTGTGTTCTGATGTCTATCTCAAACAGTTTTGGTCTTTATTTTCAGGGTCTTTTTAGGCAGACTTTCACAAAATTGTTGAGAGCGCCAGTGTTGAAAGATCAGTTGTGAAACACTATTTGTTTTTACTAACCCAGGCAGAGATTTCAAATTTCAGTTTCAGTGCTCTCTGAGGATTATTACTTGAGATGAGGGAGTGCAACATTTTATATGCACCTCAGAAAGCAGGTTAAAAGCTTAGAGAGAAACTTAGATTTCTTTTTCTTTTTTTTTTTTTTAATTTGGTGGATTTATAATGAAGAAGTAGTTAATTCAAACTGTAGCTTTTTGCTACAGCTGTAGCCCTAAAGTGGACAAACAGGTTTGGAACTTCTGGGTTTTTAAGCAGTGAGCTTTTGACAGCCGTGATGCATTTTGCTTAGGGGGATAGGTCTCATCTGCTCCAAAGGAGGAGGCTGAGGTGATTTTCAGAGTCATTTATCTGACTTTTGTTTTTTTCTTTTTCTTTCCTCTTTTTCTTGCTGTTGTCCTCTCTGTCCTGCACGGAACGACCATGTGCAATGCATGCCTCTGCTGCAGTCAGCCAGTTCTTTCACACACGTGTTTGAGTGCAGTCACCTGCTGTTGGCAGGTGCTTGCACTACCAGTGTTTTATGTGCCGAAGTCCAGGTTTATATTTCTTTGCCTTTCTCAGACCTTTAACATTAAAAACTAACGTGATTAAAAAACTCAGAAAGCAAATTAACTGCAAATTGGCGTTTCACATACAAACGAGATTTGCTGTTGTAACTGCTGTGTTTCTGAGAGAATCTCGAAAGTGGATTATTGGCATAGTGCAGAACCAGTCGTCAGTAACACAAATGATTGTCGGGATTACAAGTTACATTTAAAAAAGGGGACATTCAGTGCTACTGAGTCCAGAACGTTTTTAAGATACAACTAGTGTAGTTCATTCATGCACTTCTGTTTTCTAAAGTGTTACTGTGAGCCTTGCTATATGAAATGCTGTTAATACTTGATTCACTGGAAACTAAGATGATCATGATGAAAATAGTCTTAAGAGAAGATAAGCATTACTTCTTTGATTACTGTTTCCTTTCTTCCTTCTCTATTTTTTTGCATCTGGGAGAGATGTGAATATTTCTCTTTGCTGTGCACTAGCAACCTGTTTATCTACAGAAACGGAGAGGGAACCTACTAATTTCTATTGACTTGCTTCTGTATTTTTGCTTCGACTAGTGGCTGTGATGAGATGGAACAGATTATGTAGATAGGCCTCTGCTAGAACCTTGAGTCTGAAGAACAAGTTTATAACCTGAGTCGTATAAATAAGTGCCTGGAAAAGGAGGATTCTGTGTGAAGCTTTTAATGTCATTAAAACCACTAGTCTTTTTGAGAGCTTGGGAACTGTCCTGCCTCCCACCATAATGAGTCAACTACAAACTTTGCAATGTTGTCTAGCCATGTTCATGATATGGTTAGAGTTAGTTTGTGCTGGGGAAGTTGTGACTCAGTCCCTCTATCAAACATACTTTTTTGCTAATCCAGAGAGATCTGCCTGTGATGAATTTCTTTTATCCAGCCCAGGTGTCTCATTGATTTCAGGAGTTAGAAGCTATGCCTCTTCTGCCAGCAGGCTCAACCCAAGCCAGTGACAAACATTTTCTTTGGATTTCAAAGTTTTATTTTAAAAATAAACACAGAGCATAGTATTAGCATAGTTTGTTCCATTGTGAAATAGCCATTTGTTAAAGAAATATCACTTAAGCTCTTACTGTCTTTATTATTTTTTTTACAATCTTATGTTGTTATGAGGCAACTAAGTAGACTTCAAGTTTTAATAGTATCAGAACTGTTTTAGAAGATTAGCTTAATTTTCTAGACAAATAACTATTTCCAAGAAGGTCTGACGGTCAAATGACCTATATGAAAGACACTTCCTAGAATTAGTCTTCTACCAGACAAAGTTTCAGTTTCTGGGCTTCAAAGTACCAGTACGTTTTATTGCTTATTTCAAAATTTTTTTGCCTTTACTCAGAAGTGCCATTTCAAGTTGTTGAATTATCAGCCAAGGACTCTTTTTTTTTTTTTTTTCTTCTCTTCCAGCTCCTGTGTAGATAATTATGTTCACAATAATATTTTTGGTTTTATTTGTATAGTTTTGTCTTCAGGAACTAAGGCGACAGTTTCCTGGGAGCCACAGAGTTAAACGGTTAACTGGAATGCGATTTGAAGCTATGGAAAGGTAAAGCATAAATTTTTTAAAGAAAAAGTACTTTCTGCCTGGAAAAGTGCTTGCTATTTCTTATAAAGGCATTCAGGCACTATAAAAACATGGCAGAGAAATGCTGGGCAGTTTCTTTATAGAAACTAATAGTGTGCATGATCATAATATAACGTTTAGACATTTTTATTGCATTTTTGCGTGTGCTATGCAGTGTTACATTTTTGCAATCTTCCTATCAAATCTCATAGATTAAAAAGATCTCTTACTCAACAGCATAAGTCATTATACAGTAAAACACAAGGCACTTTTTTGGCAAAGTCTGTGAGGTGTACGTTTCATCTCACAGAGCTAGAGCAGCATATGAAAATCAGTGCCAGCGTTTTTTTGCCTTCATTGTTCTCCTGTGCTCCTAATTACTGCAGGATGCAGCTCTTTTCCCTTGTCTTCTGAGCGTGGATAAATCCAGTAGAACTTAAAAAGGATTAAATCTATAGAGGTCGTTATAGAAACAAATCAAAAAACACATGGAGTAGATTGGCAGAACCTAAAAATCAGACTGACTTTTTTGAAATATCCTGTAGAAGGTTTATAACATACTGAGTTTAACAGGAATTATTAAAAGAACAAACAGCTTGAAAGCTTACAGTTTTCCAAGATTAATGACCTCAGGGCTTGAGATTGACCTTTATTGTCCACCATTCTCCTCGGATACGTCTTTGTTATCGACATTCTGTTCTAAAGCACTTCTCTTCGGTATTGAGAAGGACTTCCAGCACCTTTGAATGCTAGAAAATCTGTTCCATGCCACATTTTGCATACAGAGGTGGTGAGATTTGTAGTTTTTGGGCCGTCTTGATATGAAGGAATTAGAAGTAAACCCTAAGTGCTTTCTTTTTTTAAAAAAAATATTTACTTAGCAGATGATCTTAATCCGTTACATTCTTGCAGAATTAACTTTGAAAATGTTATTTGATGAGAGTCACCAATGAATGTCCATCACTTGGATCAAAAAGAGTGGATAAGTGGACTTCACAACCACAGGGACAGTGTTGAGACAACTAGATGTTCCACATTTCACACTCATTTTATATCAAATACACATTCATGAAGAATTTTTTTAAACTTCTCTGACTACATTGAAGATGTTTTTACATGGAAACATTTGTGGGAGATGAGTACTGCAGAACATTATGTGTTATTTCAGCAATGAAGTGGAGCCACAGTTTTCAGAAAGTGCTCATAAAAATTCTTGACAAAATGCCTCTGTCAGGTTAGATCCTTGAGATTGGAATATCAGGGGAGCAGAGACATTAACGAAAGCTGAGGTTTCATCTTCATAGTTTTTCTCCAGAAGTCAGAGAAGAAAGAGGCTTCAGTTCTGGGTTGTCTTGAACGGGAACTCATCTGCAGGTGCTCTAAGCCACGCCCTGGAGAAGTCTGTCTCTCTCCACTGACTATAGATGAAGCCTAGGGAGACTTAGGCTGGAGGGATCACATTTTCAATTAAAGAAGTGAACTTCTTGTTAAATTCCAAGTGACTTCTATTATCTAGGAAGGATCTTCCCTTCCCCAGCAGGAAGGGGAAACAGTGAAGAATGTCCCCATAGACTGAGACATCTCTGTAGACTCTTACTGATCAAAATTCTTGAACTTCACCCTGTAAAGCTGGGATTATGGCCATCATGTTCAGTCTTGGAAAATACATTTAATAAAGTAGCAACTAACAGAGAACGTGAGTACAGCATTTTACAGCACGTCTGCTCAAGTCTGTAGCAGTCACTTACTCGTTTCTGCTTTTGTGCTTCCTTTCACGTATGTTCTCATACCTTATTGTAATTGGACTGGGCAGCTGAGCTGTGCTAATGTCAGTAGTGCTTAGGGAGCAGTGAGAGTATGTAAATGGGTGTCCGAGGTGTGAAGGGGATATGTAGCATCAAAATCAATCAGCACTACCTCTGAAAAACTACTTGTCAAACTGTACTAGAAGACACAAAGTATGCCCTAGTTATGTGGTGATAGCAAAACAACTGTAGAGTCAAATGTGGTTTGAATTGAATTATTTAATTTGTCCAGTTTGGGTCATGTACACAGCTGGCTGAAACAGATCTGTTTCCCAGAAGGTTTAAAGCATTTATAGCAGCTGGAGTAACCTGTTTCGAGCATACTTCAAATAGCAGAATTAATTAGTAAAGCCTATGTAGTGATGGTGGAAAAAATTTTCTTCCAGGATTTATGATATAGTCTAGGGGTGGATTCTTGTGTGAATCTCCCCAGTTTACTGTATGCAGCTGCTTACACTTTATAAAATCGTAATAGAGGAAACTTACAAGAAGTTTTAAATTACGGCAATGAAGTGAAAAGTCATTATTTTGGATGGCCTTTCAAATTTGGGGGCTTTTGTTTCTTGGGAGAGTTGGGATATGATGGTTGGACCTATTGGTATGGAAAAAGAGAAGACAGACAGGAGAGTAAGAAATCTGATGTAAAATATAGAAGTTGCTGCTGAAACAGTATTTCATGAAGCAATTACCATGTATTTTTTTTAACTTGGTGACACAAAATACTTGCGTTCATGTTTAGCACTCTCTCAAGAGAATTTTGTATGAATAATATTTGCTTAAACATATTCAGTATAAAAAGTGCAAGAGGATTATTATCTATTGGAAGGACAGTCAAGTAGTCAGGAGTTCTGTCTTAGCAGAAATAAATGCAAATGATTTCTTTGAACAGGTATGATGATGCTATCCAGTTATATGATAGAATTTTACAAGAAGATTCAACTAACACAGTAAGTTTAAAAGATTTTTCTGAACTGCAGTGGTTGGTTTTTTGGAATTGTGATTATATTTTGTGGGTTTTACTGTGGAAAAGCGTGTGTTTGTATTACTGTATTTGCTTCCTTTCGTTTCTTACTGTAATAATTTTAAAATAGTCAAATAATTAAATGTAATTGTTTAATAATTAATTATAATAATGGTTTAATAATTAAATGTAATTGTAATAATTGTTTCGTGATGAGAACACGTGATGAAATACCTGCGTAAACAGTGAATTTAGAAGACAGGATTGTAACTAGCAACCTTTCCAGCAGTCTTAGTAGGGTTTAGGTTGGGCCTTTCAGCTTTTCTATTTTCCCTGAATATTCCGTATTTGAAGGATCAATGTAGTCTGCTGTGTGTCTTCTGTCTTCTTAATGCTTAATCTTACTTACAGATTAAGTATGAATACACTTGAGAGATGCTTGAGTAGCAGTTATTTTGATTTACTGTCTGGGACACTTTACTAGCTTTTGAATCAAAATGCTGTAAAGCTTGCCAATCGTATAAAACAAAATCTGAGACAGACTGTACTTTTCTTTCAAGCATTTTTTGAATACTAGTTGTGTAAGCCACCTTGAGCTATTAGATGCCAAAATGAAAGTCTAGGGAAACTTGTAGCAATATATTTTCATGCCTTTTTTTTTTTCCCCACAAGGAGAAAACTAGAAATATGAAGAAACTGTGGAGTTTCAAATTTTTATATCACATGTTGCAAAATCAGTTTGTTGTTGTGAATCATTGTCTGTTTGAGGATGTATGTTTGTCTGTGTTACTCGGTTTCAATGAACTGGTTCTCCTTATTGGGTATACTTCTATGTGAATGGAGTACTTGGGCTATGCATATGTTTTGGCAGTCTCATGTACATCTTCCTTGGTGCGTTTTGAACCTCTGCCTTTCTTCAGTCAGCTTATTTGCTGCAGTCTGCTATTCAGGAGGGGAAAACCCACAGAAACACAGATAACTGGAGTTAACTAAGGTATGCCAGAGCTGTGTATAGATGAAGTGCCATCATGTAAACTAAGGAAACCATTAAAAAACCTTCACAAAGCAAATTGAAAAAACAAACACATAACAACAGCAACTGAAACACACCAAACCAGCAAATTACTTTCAAGGCACCACATTTGAAAACATTAATACCAAGTTAAGCGCTTGGACACCAGTGGCAGATTAAAGTCTGGATCTTTTAGCAGTGATACAACTCATATGTTTTGTGCAAGGGTGAAAAGAACTATTTCAGTTCTTCACTCTTATTTTTCGCTCTCCCTAGAGCAGTACTACTTGAACTATGTTCTGCGAGACAAATGTAGGCGATCTGCAGATGGTCCTTTGAAAGTCTGTAGTGTTTTTGAGTAGAAGTTTGAACACAAGGTGCACAGCTGTCTGCAGTAAATGTTGGTGGATTTTATCAGTGTATGGCCCGAAGAGTTTCAGAGACGCTAAGTCTTCAGAGTCATGTTAAACCAAGATGGAACCCATCTACGGTGAAGCCACAACAATAGGTCACATAGGTGCTCGGTTTTTGACCTTTTGCTGAAGCCAGTGGAAAATGAGAGGATCATACTGCAGTGACTTCTGTGGACCACAGAATTTTGAAATGTGCATTTTTGGCAGTTTTACTCTTCAGCTGTCTCAACGTGGGTAACGTCATCTGAGTGGTTTGTTGGACAGTTTCATAAAACAAAATGATAGATTTAAATAAGTAATATGCATGACTATTACCTAATTTGGATTTCCTCCTTAACGAAATCATAAAAATCCATAAAATGGTAACATTTGGAAGCATAAGATGTAAATATTAGAACAGCTGCGTGATCTATTGGATTTCTTAAGATCTGAGAATAGAAGCGGAGAGTGTTAAATGCAAAGCAAAGGTTCCTTGCTATATAACTACAGAATAGGTTGGCTAAGCCTTGCATATGAAAAGTGAAAGTTTAATAGAAAGTTTTGATAAATTGTCATGTGCAGATTTCTGTGTCTTTTACCTGTTAATTATTTCCATGCACACATGTGGCTGCCGTAGGAAAATAAATAGTTCAGGATTTTAAGAAAGAAACTGTTGCTGAGTTTGTCTTGGCACTCACCTTACCTTTTAGCAATTTCTTCTGGTCTGCTGACACATGGAGTTGCTTATATACATTAAACGTTTTGGCATGTGCTATAAGTGAAACATAGACATTTGTTCACACGAATCATGTAAAAATCATACTTTGCAGCGACTGACGGTTTCAAATAGAAGCATGGAAAAGCTTTTTCAAAAAATTATTTGTTTTAGACACCTAGCAGACTTTTCCATTATGAAAAGTGAACTTTGAGCTCAAATTATGTAATGGACATTTACACTTTTGGATGAGGTTTTGTTGCATGCAAGAGGATGAAATTAAGATAACAGTAATTATTTTATTTCATTTCATTTCTTAGGATAGAATTCAAAGTAGTCTTTGTTTTTAAAAGATGACTTGCTGAAAAAGATGATTCATTTAACAATGGAGCAATGTTAATGTTGTCACTTCAGAGATCTTGTTTCATTTTTCAAAGCATGTAGGTGTTGAGTAAGAGTCTATCCCTTCTCTAAAGAGTTTAACGTTAATGAATGAAATGTGACTCCTGTGAAAAGCACGAATCGTGTGCATTTTCATAGGATGAGAATGGGAATCTTTTCCATTCTCATCCATTTTGGTTGAAATTAAGGCTTATTAGGGCTGTAGCTGGCAGATTACTCTGTTATTAAGGCTGCATAATGTTTTCCATTGTAGGACCTTTTTTAGTAATTAAAATCTAATGTAGTATCCAATTGAAAATCTTTATACTGATGCTGAGCAGTGGCTGAGTTGTTTGTAGGTCTTCAGATAAAGTGCTTAGTCCGTTTCTCAGAGTGAAATAAGAGGGGCATTGTTTTTTTTTAGCAGGGTTGATAGAAAGGACTTTTTTGTTTGGTTTTGCTGTTAATGTATTTTATTGAGAAATCCTCATCCTGCTCTGCTTTGGAGAAAAGCCTTGGATACTAACAGGAAAAGAGCTCTTGATAGAATGCAGCTTTTATAATAATACAAGAAAAACACCCAAACTGGCTAAGTTACAGGCATTTGAAAATCTTCACTTCATGTTCTCAGTAGAGACTGCTGGAATTTTTATTAAGTACATCTTAAAATTCCATTTGCATTGGGCATAATCTGTCCCAGGCTACAGATACGAAGCAGGACTTCCTTGCAGTTGCTCCTCATGGCTGTAGGGCTATGGGAAAGGGGCAGAAAGTAGAGAAACTTGTTTGTTTCCTGAGTTGCACCCCAGTGATGAGCAGGAGAAGGGAGAAAAGCATCCAGAAGGAACTGAGCGAAAAAGAAGGAAGCAGAACTGTGAGGGCGAAAAGAGAGAGGGACAGGTAATGGAAGGTTAGGTGGTTAGTTAACAGGAGAGGTCAGGTCAGATGTAGGGGAACAGATGGCTTGAAGAGTGGGTAGGAGATTAGAACAGAGGGATTTGTATTAACATTGAAGTCTTGGGCGCTTTTTTTTTCCCTTAAAAAAAAAAGCTAAATTAAAAAAATCACATTTTGCCTTGAGGCATTTTTTTTCTACTGTCAGCTTTGAGGCCTCCTGATGAAATGTCTCTACTTCCCTGTAGTACCTGATGTATATTAGTTCTGTCAGTAACTGTTCTAACTCTAATAGTGAAGGCATATACCATTTGAATGCTGTGCGTAACCAAACCTGCAGTTCTGCAAGACGGAATTTCTGTTCTTTCACTAAAGAAAGCCCAGGTACATTTCAGACCTTCTGGAGGTAAGGCAGAATGCTCAAGGATGGTACTTAAAAAATGCCAGAATCTGCCTGCCCTTAAAATGACTGGTAGTCCTTTGAATTAAGTAGTTATTGTTTAGCGATATCCTATGTAAATTCAGCTAATACAACGGCTAAACTTTGATATAATCTTATAATATGAAACGTAATGCCACATGCAAACTCTAGGCCTTTTTAAATCACAAGTTGAGCTTCACAGTTTTCTCAGTATCTTTATTAGTGGTCTGAATAATTCGTTAGGGTTTACGTTTTGGATGGGTTGCTTGTGTGAAATTAAGTAGGAAATTTGCGCAGAATTGATGTATCTGTGTTTTCTATTTGATGTGAAAGTCTTCGTTTCTGGGAATGGGGCTCTTGCATAAGAACCTTACAAATGGAAGTGCTATATTGAATGTTTTTTTTCTCTCATTTGTCTCACAGCAATCATGTGAGGTGAAACAGTACTGACATTTTACATATGGAGAGCAAATGAAAGCCCAGCTCTGCAAAATTATTTAGGACTCGCTTCCTAAGCAGGCAGTTAGCTCTCTGATTTTGCTATTGATTTCAATTCTGTAATGAATATTAAATGAGGAAATTTTAAGCTATGTGTATGTATCAGATTAAGTTGAATGCCTTTTTGCATTGTTTTATCCAGGCAAAGACTTTGCTTTTGGGGAGTAATTTGAATGTAGACTCATCTCATCTAATTAAATAGCTAAGTATTTTTGTCATTCAGTCCATTCTGGAGGTGACCTGTCCAGGAGTGCAAAGAACATTCATGATAAGAAAGAAATTCAGTTCATGCGTTCAAGACTTAGGTTGGTGTCTAACGCACTCCACTGTCATCCTAGTGCATCTGCAGTTTCTCCTGATTCTTCAACTGAAACATCAAGAAGATTGCAAAGCACTTGGTCAATGCCAGGGGAAAGTGAGATAAGGCACAAAGTTACCTTAATTCTAATCCACACAAAATCTGATGTCTTTATTGGGACAATTCTTACGCTGTTTTTCTTGCCATTTTTTCAACTAAGCTTTTAATACAAGACACTGTATATGCTTGGTTAGCTTAGTGCATGTGGATAATCTTATTAACTTCATGGGTCTAGTAATATATTGTGTGAATGAAGAATTAAAAATAGAATTTTCAGAACAAGATAGTGTTCTGGGTGAAGCTGTTGTCTTTCAGGGTTTGTAAAATACTTCACAAACAACTCTGTTGTTTAAGGAAATGGGCAGGAACAAGTGTATCGTCAACAGCATGGTCATCTGTTCCTCAGCTCCTTCTCTCTGTCAAACAAGATAAGAATAACGAGCACTAAGTCTGAGTGTTGGATACCTATTTATCATCTGAACAGTGATAATTGTTTAAAACTCCTGTAGTAGCTGTGCATTCATTTTAAACAGACAAGAGACCTCCCATTAACTTCTTGCAGATTTGTGCATTTATCGACAGGACACTTTAACATTCAAAAAGGAAAATTGCTCACCAAATGAAGTGTCTACTAACAGAGGGGGTTTTCTCAGATAATCATAGAATCACAGAATGGATTGAGTTGGAAAGGACCTTAAAGATAACTGAGTTCCAACCTGTCTGACATGGGCAGGAACACCTTCCACTTGATCAGGTTGCTCAAAGCCTCATCCAACCTAGACTTGAACATTTCCAGGGATGGGGCATCCACAGCTTCTCTGGGCAACCTGTTCCAGTGCCTCACCACCCGCAGAGTGAAGAATTTCTTCCTTAGACCTGATTTAAATCTACATGCTCTCAATTTAAAGCCATTACTCTTTGTGCTATTACTACATGCCCTTGTAAAAAGTCCCTCTCCAGCTTTTTTGTAGGCCCCCTTTAAGTACTGGAAGGCTGCTAGAAGGTCTCCCCAGAGCCTTCTCCAGACTGAACAACCCAACTCTCTCAGCCTGTCTTCATAGGAGAAGCCCTCAGATCATCTTTGTGACGCTCCTCTGGACCCGTTCCAGCAGCTCCTTGTCCTTGTTATGTTGGGGTCCCCAGAGCTGAATGCAGTATTCCAGGTGGGGTCTCACGAGAGCAGAGTAGAGGGGCAGAATCACCTCCCTCGACCCTGCTGGCCACACTTCTTTGGATGCAGCCCAGGATACAGTTGGCTTTCTGGGCTGCCAGCGCACATTGCCGGCTCATGTTGAGCTTCTCATCAACCAACACTCCCAAGTCCTTTTCCTCATGGCTGCTTCAGTCCATTCTCCGCCCAGCCTGTACTTGTGCTTGGGATTGCCCCGACCCATGTACAGGACCTTGCACTTGGCCTTGTTGAACTTCATGAGGTTCGCGTGGACCCACTTCTCAAGCCTGTAAAGGTTCCTCTGGATGGCATCCCTTTGCTCTGGTGTGTTGACCACACCACACAGCTTGGTGTCATCAGGAAACTTGCTGAGGGGGGTGCACTCAATCCCACTGTCCATGTCTCCAACAAAGATGTTAATCAGCACTGGACCCAATACCTAACCCTGAGGATCACCATTC